CTTGTGCAGACATCGCCATCGATTTTTCAGCCTTGAAAATGTGTTTTCAATAACAACTCGAGCTCTCATGTGTTTTTCATTATAATTATTGGACTCAGCGTCTAAAAATGGTGTCATAAGCCATGGGCGTTGGGGATATCCAGAATCTCCTAGAGTTAAAATATACATGTTATTGTCAATAATATAGATAGAAATTATTTAGTAATGTTTTACTTAAAAATACTTGATATAACTCAAAACATCCCAATAAGTTATACTGTGGATATATTACCTAAAAGCCAGACAATTTCTCCATTTCGGTGCAAAGATTGCACATGTGTTTAAATTACTGTTTTCCCATATAAAGGAATCATGATTTGCACCTCCAAACTTGGAATTCACATTTAAAACTCTATATTCAACATCACATACCTGAAAAGAAGACATTTTGCTTATTTTCTACCCCTTTTTAACCAAGGAATAATAAAATAAAAAAAAACTTAAGATTTACCATTTGAACATTAAGTGAATGGTAGTGCTTACGACTATAGTACAAATGTTCCTCTTCTTTTGGTGGGACAACTATTTTAAAATGACTTCCATCAATACAGCCAACCACTCCAGGAATTCCATATTTTCTGTAAAAACTGAATTTTAAAATAAATAATTACCGAATCTAATGAATAATTTGCATAAGGTTGTTTAAAAATAAGCATATATTTATTACCGTTGACTAACTGCTTGTCTAGCAGCTGGAGTGTCAGGGAACCGAATATATTTATTTATTATGTTTTTGTATGTCAGCGCCTGAGTAACTTCTTCTATGTACACACTGCACATTTTTTGAGACGTGTGCTTTGCAATCCCAACTGGCCTTTGGTAAGATCCAGTTGCAAAAAAGAATAGAGCAGTGAGCACCTGCAATTAGAAAGAGAACAAACTTATATTTAAACTTGCACTTGTTTTAAACTTGAGTTGCAAAAATGTGAATACTTTAATGATCGATACATACTTTATGTTCCAAGGAAACGCGTTGAGAGGAGCTAAGATTTGTCAAACTCCTTAGCTCTTTACACAAAAACTTGAACACTTTCTTGGAAATGCGATACCTATCTTTAAATTGCCTCCCCGTGAGGTGTAACAAAGGGTTGAAAGATGCACGAGCTCTTCTTTCAACATTGGCGTTATAATTGCGGTCATCTTGTGCCTTAGCGGCTGTAAACATCCTCCATGCGAAAAATAAACGTCCTGCCATAATTAAATATTGTTCACACAAAACGAAATAAAATTAAACCTTCGACAATCGTTCTCACTATGCTTTCTCACTGTCAAAATTTAGGTGAAAACTTTTTCGATATCGACCGCGTAAACTTTATTTATGTTAGATCAAAATTGGAACTCGCACTCGCAAAATTCTTGAAACAACCAATCACGTGCGTTTACGTTCTCGCTGTCGAATGCGAGTGAATGCTCGATGGTCGATATCGACGACGTAATAAACTCGCACTCATGAACTGTGATTCCGATTATTGCCACTAGTTGGCGCTGATTTTATTCCATACAAATTGTAGTTAACTTTCTCGGTATCGAGCGCGTAAAAAAACTCGCACTAGGCACACAGTTCACTAATTCACTAGTAGTATAAGGCGCCGCGAGTGCCGTTACTGGTTACATCCAAATTCAAACTTGCATCTAACATGTTGTAGTCAAATATGAACTTAGTTTGATTTATAATATTGTGATTGTGATATCATTGTTGTTTATTTTTTGTTAATTCGTATAAGTAGTTCATAACATAAAAGGTGAATTAAATGTACTTGTTTGTTTAAAGTATGAATGATAACAATGAAACAACAAAATAAAAATTTATAGTTATATATACGAGGGTGGATTGAAAAGTACTCGGCCTAACCAAGAAAATAAACACATACTAAATCAGTTATATTTTTATTTTTCTACATAATCACCATCAAGTTCAATACACTTTTGCCACCTCCCCTTCCAAGCATTTAGACCGTTGAAAAAAAATGATTCTTCCTTAGAGTCAAAATATGCGTCTACAGCTGCTTTGACCTCGTCGTTTGTCGAAAATCTTTGACCTCCCAAATGCTTTTTTAGGTTAGGGAACAGAAAGAAGTCTGATGGTGCCAGATCAGGTGAATACGGCGGATGCGGTAACAGTTCAAAGCCACAGTTGTGAATTTCAGCCATTGACTGTACTGACGTGTGAACACGGGCGTTATCTTGATGAAACAGGACTTTTCTTCTGAGCATTCCTCGACGTTTTTCTTTTATTTCCTCTCGTAAACGACGTAGTAAGGTGCAGTAGTAATCAGAGTTTATATTCTGACCCCTTTCAAGATAATCAATCATAATCACACCTTTCGAGTCCCAGAATACTGAAGCCATCACCTTATTTGCCGACAAAATCGACTTAGCCTTTTTAGGGGGTGGTGAACCAGGTCTTCTTCACTGTTTTGATTGTTGTTTTGTTTCCGGTGTACAGTAATGAACCCATGTTTCGTCCATAGTAACAAAACGATTCAAAAAATCATCTGCATCAGCTTCAAATAACTCCAAACAGTCGCGTGAAATAGTCAATCGCGTCCTTTTTTGTTCAACTGAAAGCAGTCGCGGAACCCACCTCGCAGACACCTTGTGGAAACCCAGCTCGTTGACAATGATGTTTTGAGTTCGTTCATAAGAGATGCCTATAATCTCGACTATCTCTCTAATTTTTAATCTGCGGTCTCCCATTATTAAATCAAGTACTTTTTTAATATTTTCGTCAGTAGTTGACGTCGAAGGCCTTCCAGAGCGGGGTTCATCTTTCACACTCTCTCTACCACGCTTAAATTCTGCTATCCATTTTTTGACGGATGAATATGACAGAGCACAATCGCCTAATGTACTGACCATGTCATCATGGATGGCTTTTGATGATAGCCCCTTCTTATGGAGGTACTTAATGACGGCACGCTGCTCGATTTGCTCCATTCGCGAAAATTATGTCAGATTACTTTGTTAATAAATTTATAAAATCACAACTAATTATCGCACACGTTTCGAACTTCACACAATGAACTAGTCTGAACTGAACTAAATAATGTGGGTAGATTTGATTTTTAGAATTGAATGGATCTGTGTTAGGCCGAGTACTTTTCAATCCACCCTCGTAGTTTATAGATTTTGAAATACTCCACATATCTGTAGTAAATAAAAAACATGGAAATACTACAAATAAATAAATAATAAATATTTGTATTTTATTTCATATTTCCATATATTACTTATTTAATAAAGGTACCTATTTAAAAATGCTTTAACTAAGGTAATCGCTATTCTCGACTCGAGTGATAAAATTCAATCGATGCAGGGACTGTAAATAGTTAATCCAAATAACTCAAAAACTCTAGTACAACTAAAGTGACATAATAAAACCCGAGTGACTTGATTCACAAAATTCTACTCGAGTCACATTTTTATATTACGGTCAATGCAGTGTCTGTCTACAATTTGGTGATGAACTTGACTTACTAATTCGAGCAATTTATTGATATATTATGTAATGTCAATAAGCTGATTAAGTATAATTCGTGATAGTTCAATTATTAATAACAGTAAGTTTACGCTACGTCATAAAGTAAGTGATATTATTTTATGAAGATTGTCTATACGCAAACCAATAATATATAATTACCTATTAAATTAAGAAATAATAATAATTATCTTGTGTGGAAGAACAAATATAAAAATAATTTGTAACAAACTGACAGAGCTTCGTTCCGCCAATTCGAGTTGCGTACTCGAGTACTATTCGATTACGTGAATTTCAACACAAGTTAACTCGAGTCGAATTTCTTCCGAGTTGGCACATCTCTACTACAATTGTGTTTAATATTACTTTATCTGAACCAATGACATAAACATAAATATCAAAACAACTCTTTTTTTCATATTTCTTGATTCCGTCTAGATTTTCATAAAATCTTTATGCCATTTACAATAATAAATTGGTTTTTTTTTTGTATATAATACCATTGCTGTCCGCGAAAATTTCTAGTGGGCCCAAAAACGACTGTCTCCTTTGCAAAGAAGGTTCAGAATAAGTAATATAGGCAAATGGTGAAGAACAATTAACTAAAAAAAAAATCGCAAACATTTTGTCTTTTTAATCTTTTAAATTCAAAATGCGTGGTAAAGCATTATTTTAAATTCATAAATATCTAACGCCTACTATTTTACTACGCACGCACACACTCGAATTGAATCGCACACAGAGGAGCGCGCGTACGCCTATGCAACAACTATTTGTTGCCCATAAATCACATTGAATTTGGGATAATTTCAAAAAAAGTAGAAACTTCATTTACTCGAAAGTGCAATAACGATATATCATTATTTATATACTAGCTGTTCCCCGCAACTTCGCCCGCGTGGAGTTATTTTTCGCGGAACCCTAACATAAAAGCAGCCCAAGTTACTCCTTATAACATCAGCTATCTTCCAGTGTGTATAAATATTGACAAATACTGACATTAATATTTATACGATACTAACGTCACTTAATTGTTTTGCCTTCCCGAAACCCCTCCACTAACACTTAAACTTTATGGTTATGGTATTAAAGTTCAAATTGACTTAATACTTAATATTATTACAAATCTTTTGTATGGGAATATAGAAAAGTGTTGTTTTTAGACTTTTTCAGGTAAATTTTTAAATTATTCTCTCCGTAAGAACCATCTTCGTACTTCAAGAAATATAAAAGAAAAAGAATTAGCGAAATCAGTTCATCTGCTCTCGAGATTTGCGCTTAGCAACACATTCAGCGATTCATTTTTATATTATAGATTTGAACTCAAGTTTAATTTGGCTACTCTTCGAAAAATAACCGTGTATATAATACATATTATGCAGCACATTTAAAACAACTAATTGGAGATTCAGATACATTATTATTATTTACAGACTCACAATAACGGACACTTGACCATAGGTAAAATAAATAATTGACTTACAAAATCTCGATTATGATATGTGATGTTCTGGATATGCATCTGCAAATCCACAGGCATTTCCGGAGGCAGGTTTTGGGTGTCGTTATAATATTCCGGCCGCCAGCCGTAGATCCTGTCAACAATCAATACATATTTTAATTTTTTTTTAAATTTTTTTTTAAATTTTTTTTCAATAGATATAATGTGTATGTTAAAAATGTATAATTGTATAAGTAATACACACATCTTTGTTAATTTATTTTGTTGATCCTTAATTTTTTTTCTCTTGCAAATTATATTGCACCTCAAAAGTCGTTGTCTCTGATTACTTATAGGTCGACTGGTAGAGAACGCCTTAAGGCGTCAAGTCCGACTGGACATTTTTGTGCAACAAAGTTTAAATAAATAAACACATATTATATTCGTTCATTGTATTGTGGCGGTGTAAAAAATATAACATCATTTCGTCGCATACTAACCGACTAACGTTGACATGTTGTCACCTGTGAGGAATTTCATCTAAGTCCTCACAGTCCAACAACGCATGTTGCTAAATTTTAATTACATTGGTTCTAAATAATAAGCTTAGAGTAATCCCAGGCTTGCAGATGCGTTGCCGGCCTTTTAAAAAGGAGTAGGCTGATAGAAGCATGTTAAAGATAACATCAGAATTGAAATTTCGACCGAACCTGTTCAGTTTCAAGAAGATGCACGGAGAGGACTTGTGGAAGGAGAAGTGGTTCTCCTCGATGCACGGCAACCAGGTGCTGATGTCCACGTCGCACACCCTCCCCGGTGGCGGCAGACTATTGAATCCGCAATTATGAAAGTTTTGACCCGCGCCCGCTGTTTGACCCTTCTTTTTATACACTGAAATAGAATTAATATGAATTTTAAGGACTAAGACCCATGTGAACTGGGAATCGATGCTAAATAAAAATATATAGAAAAATCCATTATTACTTTGTACCCGTTTTTCGAGTGTATGTGTGTCTATTTCTTTGGCACGCTCTGTAGCATAAATGGCTTAATGGATCTTTACATATGAGGTGTCGTTGGAATCGTCATTGTTGCAGAAGTGACATATTTGTAGGATATAAAACTTTTCTCTTTTCCTCTCCTCTTTACGCAGTCGAATTTTTTAAATTACTACTTTTAACCTTTGGTTTTTTTTGTATTGGTCCCATTTCGAGATCCGAAGACTCACTTGTTTTGACTGAAATGTACTGCAATCCGTACACTTAACTTTTGTGTGACTTGACATTCATACAGAATAGGCGGGTACAGAACGGCGCTAATAATACGAAAATACGAATCAAAGAACCTATACCTGAGCGCAAATAATAGTTCAGCCAAGGAAGCTTAAATAAACGCATAAACATAAATTTTCTTTCACTTTTCTACTTAATTTTTTTTTTATTTATAACTATTAATAAATTTTAAAGGTATGAAGGTATCTGTCTCATTTCTGCGGTGTAAAACCGCGATTGAACGACACGCGTAAGCGCCATCAAATTCCTGGCGCTTACGACGTTTTATTGCGTGAAAACTGTAATAAAAAATAAGCGATTTAGCGCTGTGTATTTTAATGGCTTAGTTAGGCAACATAACTAATTTTAGCGCTGCAGCAAATATATCAGTCAGTCCACGTCGCGCTATCCTTCGGAATTCCGAACGTAGCAAGTCCTATGGTTAACGAATTATTGTCTTCTAGATCTAGATTGATTCTATTTTATAGAATATGGGTGACAAACGAGCACACTGTCCACCTGATGGTAAGTGGCTGCTGCAGTCCATAGACATCTACATCTATCCTCGATTACAAATCAAAATCCAGATGCGTTGTCACCCGTGAGGACTAAGAATGGAATGTCTCGTTTCCAATAAAAAGGGTCTCCGGTTCTCTACACTCACCCTACGAAACACAGCAGCATTAAACTGGAATTTGACGCTGGTATTCTGTGTAAGCGTAGTCCTACCCCGATTGAGCCGACCCATTCGTGCTACAACCATAATATAGCTGCAGCATGGATGTAGAAAGAATCGTGCGAAATGGAAGTCCGCAATCCTTGCCTACCCCTCTGGGTGACGGGCGTGAGTGTTTATGTTATGTATGATCAGGACAGTCTCGATTATCAGTTGCACAAGGCCGTATTAAGAAAACACTGCTAACATAATACATTCATGTGCAAACGACCATAATGGCCTATAATCTTAATTATGTTTATTGTCAATGGAACAAAGAAATGGACCAAACAAAGTAATGATGACCTTTCACCGACTTTGCAGACTTAAACCTATTATAGTTATCGAGACTATTACAAGGTAATTTATTATAATTATGTTAGAAAAAAGAACATACTGAGAACTTAGTATATATGTCTATAAATTCAATCGCTTCCGTGAACACTACATCAGGCGACGAAGAGGAAAGTGTGTAAGGGAGCATCTTCAACAGTATGAAAAGAGCTCAAGTTTAACACAATGTTTGTTTTTCTAATTAGAAAAAGGGTGACTAGCTAAAATGGAACGCTGGTAACGACCAGTAAAAAGGTCTCTCGTTCTCTACACTCAACTACGAAAGACAGCAGTATTAAGCTGCTATATTGCGCTGGTATTGTGTGTGAGCTTTTTCTTATTGTATGATATATCTGCAGCATGGCTCAACCACATATAAAAAAAATATTTTAGACAAAATAATATGCTGATGTCTTGGTGTGTGACATAAACCAGGGTTGGCTGATTTAAATCAGACTGATTTAAATCATGATTTAAATCACGATTTAAATCGCCTGATTTTGATTAAAAAAATCATTGATTTAAATCAACATGTATAAATTAATGTAATAGGCAGAAAATGATATAAAACTGGCTTAAAATAACGTAAAATCTTTAATTGTTTTATGTTATTCTTATTAGTCTACTACAATAGTCTCATAAACTTTGGAAAATCAACAAAGACATGGCGATGAGGTCTGTCAGCCTCATAAACTTTTTTTAGAAATTCACCCTTAAGATAGGAACTGTAATTAATACAGTATTAATTATTTTACTTTTGATCAGTCTCATACATATATATTCATAAACTTTTAATCCTACTATGTCAAAATGTGTTACCAACTCGTGAATTTCCAAATATACAAAAAAAAATCAAAAAATTCAAAAAAAGAGCATGATTTGATTAAAATTGAAAAAATCATGATTTTTTCCATCCCTGACATAAACACGGTGGTACCATCACCACTACCACCAGGCCAGGAAGAGAATAGTGTTTTATGGAGCATTTTCAACACTAAATGATGACAAACGAGCAGGCAATCCACCTGATGGTAAGGCAATGATGTGGTTCATTGACAAAATTTATCCTTAACTAGCTGTTCCCCGCGACTTCGCTCGCGTGTTAGGGTTTTTATGTTTTTGCGCGGAACCCTAATTCTTTTTCTAAAATAAAAGTAGCCTAAGTTACTCCTTATGAAATCAGCTATCTGCCAGTGAAAGTCCCAGCCAAAATCGGTCCAGTCGTTTCGGAGATTAGCCGGAACAAACAGACAGACACACAAAAATTTTAAAAATTGTATTTTAGTTATAAGTACCGTATTTACTTTCATATGCATTTAGTAAAAAACTGTAATTTTGACATTACAAACAGACACTTCAATTTTATTTATTTGTATAGATTAAGAATTAAGATGCCAATGCACTGTCACCCCTAAGTACTAAAATGTAATTCCCCGTTTCCAGTAAAAACGGTATCCGGTTCTCTACACTTACCATACGAAACAAAGTTGTATTAAGCTGCTATTTTACGCTAGTATTCTGTGAGAGCGTGGTCCTACCCCGGTTGAGCCCAACCATTCGTTCTGCAACCATAAAATAGCTGCAGCGTGGCTCCACCACATGTTAAACCACATGTAAAAGTGTGTGTGACTATCTTCAAATATTTATTTATATATTAAGTGGAGGAGCCGTAGTAGTTTAGAGGTTAAGCGCTCGCTGTAATCTTAACAGTACGCGAGCAACCCGGGTCGATCCCCGCCGGTACCAACGAAAATGTTAATTGCAACTTTAAGTGCTTACTAGCTGTCCCCCGCGACTTCGCTCGCGTAATAGGGTTTTTATGTTTTTGTGCGCAACCCTAATTCTTTTTCTAAAATAAAAGTAGCCTAAGTTACTCCTTATGAAATGAGCTATCTGCCAGTGAAAGTCCCGTCAAAATCGGTCCAGCCGTTTCGGAGATTAGTCGGAACAAACAGACAGACAGACAGACCGACAGACAGACAAAAATTTTAAAAATTGTGTTTTTGTTATAAGTACCGTATACACTTTCAAATGCATTTAGTTAAAAGCTGTCATTTTGACATTACAAACAGACACTTCAACTTTATTAATTTTAATAGATAATAGATTAACCATGTGCTCTGCGGCTAAGAAAGAAAAATCGTGAAACCAGTATGACTGAAAAATGAAAAATAATATATTTGATAAATAAAAGACACACAACAACCACCAACACGGAAATAGGCAGCGTGGCGGACATTTCCTTGCTCTATACCCTCTCAGAAATGAGAGAATTTTTTTGAAGTTATACTTCTTCTGGGGCGTTGGAGAAAAATTATGAGTGATTTATTTTCGATGCCCACGCACACCGACAGCTAAAAACGACACCATGACGTTGTTACGATGCGCGCGCACACTGACACCTCAAAGCGACAACTTCATTGGGTAATTGTCACTCAAGTTTTCGTGGGAACTGATAGCTATATTTAAGGTAGTTATTTTTAGTTATTTTTGTTTTGTTACGCTAAAGAAGTACAACTTCCTACGTGTGTACATAAGTACACACACACGTTTTTTTTTTTTACTATTCTAAGCTAGCTTTTGACTACACAATCATACCTGATGGTAAGTGGTGATGTAGTCTAAGATGGTGAAGCGCACTCACTTAACAAAAGCCTATTAACTCTTGCCTTCAAGATGTCACATTGGCAACAGATGGAAAGACAAATGCAGATCTGTGCCCAGCAGTGGGACCTAAACAAGCTATAACTTCACCTTTTTTATCTTGTAATCTGTTTTATTGTTTGTCCTTTTAACAATGCATTATCGTTTGAAACTGTTATGGCTTGAAAGTACTCACCAGACAGGAAATCTTTCAGCTGATCTTCCCAATACTTGTAGTCTTCAAGGTCGGTGCCTTTATACGAAATGAGGGTGCTCCGCACATCCGGCGGGACGGGCCTAAAGCCGAGTCCCGGGCTGGTGCCGATGAGGCTGCGATTCAGTTGCAACCGGGGAACCCTCGGGTTGATGTACTGCTGGTGGAAAGTCACCATGCATATTGCGAATAGGGCCACTAGCACCGTGTAGAATATTATATAGAAGATGATGATTTTACCTATAACAAAATTTAACTTTATGAACACTACTGTGCGTTTTTAAAAATCTGGGTCTATATATAAAAAAAATAAAACAGTTGACACCTTAGATTGCCTCATAGAGAGTATATTTCTCATTGTTGCATGCTTGGCAGGCTGGTTAGGAACTGCAGTTTTTTAATAGTTATTAGAAAGACACTGCTGCCTATTTCCTGGTTTATTTCAGTTGCCTCTGTACGCCCACGGGGCGATATGGAGTAGTGGATATTCTTACTCTGCCATTACATGGTTAGACCATATGCCACAAATAGGTAGATACGATCAGATCATACATATCAGAGCCGTGGTAGCTATTAAGGAGTTAACCTTCTCAGGAAAGAAGACGTCTGTGCCCCGCAGTGAGACGTATTTAGGCTGTATCTTTCCTTCACTTAAACAGACCTATTTTATCGTATGAGCGTTAACGGCACGGTTAGGAATGAGTTATGTATATAATATATATATATATATATATATATATATATATATATATATATATATATATATATATATATATATATGTATATAATATGTCCGCCAGACCGAATTTCGGACACGGCGGCCAACCTCAACGGAGACTAGGCAGCAGTGCAGGACAAGATTCAGTGCCCAAGGGATGCGCAAGCACAAGTGCACTCTCTATTACCTCACCCTCATAGTCAGATTGCATGGTAAACCGACAAGACCAGAGAGAGATCAGGCGCAGGGCCAACGGTTTTACGGGTTTTCCGAGGCACGGGGGTGAGAAACGGCCAACTTCCTGACTCTGGGCAGTTACTGAGAATTTCTTGATGGTAAAACTCAATAACTGATTTTTTTGGCCTGACCTGGGATTCGAACCAGGGATCTCACTACTACAACCACTAGACTAGACCAACAAGGCAGTCAATTATGTAGTGGTATCAACTCATCAATACCACCATCTAGTGGTACTCATTAACTCATTAACACGTTGATAACTTAGGGATTATTCGAAAATTGTTGCTACGGTTTTAAAACCAGCAAGGATAAAATCATATTCTTTAACCCATGCTAATGACAATGGTAGCATCCATCAATTTGCCTGCCAAGGGTGAAGACTATGACAAATCCTTCTTGCTAAAGGAATGCCAATTGTCATATTCAAAGATTTATTGTTATTCTATTTGGGAGATCTTGTTTACTTTGTTAATTGATAAAGTAAATTGAATGTAGATAATTTAATATTCACTTATGACACTTGTCTTTTGTCTTTTTTAATACATAACAATATTCAATCAATGTCTTTTATATTCTGAATGTATTACCAATGGTCAGCAGTAGACCGTTAACGGGCTAATAAAAAAGAATATCTCTGAGAGGTGAGAAGTCTTCAGCAGCATCTATCGTAAATAATTCAATGACTGCCTGTTGGTTTAGTGGTCGCAACAGCGCCTGCTGATCATATGGGTAAAGTAAAGTTGCAGCCTATTTATATCCCACTGTAGGTTTGAGCATTAGCTTAATTTTAATTGGCCAGTATTTCTTTTTTTTTAATCTTTCTTCATTACGTTCACTTCACGGTACGACTGTAAGTTCGTTTCTCATTTCAATTTTTATAGAAAATATGAAAATTTAGTAAAGTAAAGTAAAGTTGCAGCCTTTTTACGTCCCACTGCTGGGCACAGGCTTCCTCTAATTTCTGAGAGGGTTTTAGGGCAAGGAAATGTCCGCCGCGCTGCCCCAATGCGTGTTGGCGAACTTCACGTCTTCGAAATATTTTTTTTTTCTCAGACATTCAGGTTTCCTCACGATGGTTTCCTTCACCGCCGAGTATGTGGTAAGTCAGCACTTAAAATTGCAATTAACAATTTCATTGGTGCTAGCAGGGATCGAACCCGGGTTGCTCGAGTACTGTGAAGCTTACAGCGAGCGCTAACCAGCTGAGCGACAACGGCTCTGATCATGTGGTCCTAGGCTCGAAATCCGCGGCCTGCCGAAAATCTATTATTAGAGTTGCCTGTCAAGTAATTCTCAGTAGCAGCCTAAAGTCGAAGTTAGTGGAGTGCCCCCTGTGCCTCGGAAAACACATAAAGCAGTTGGTCTAACATCTGATCTCTCTCTGGTTTAGTCAGATTACTATATGGAAAGAATTAAATAGCAAGTACATCTGTGTGTGCACATGTGTCCTCTCCATATCCTCAATTTTATTCTATCTATACACTCATGCTTTATAATCCTGTCCTGCATAGATGTCTAGTTTCCGATAAGTCATGCCACCATGACCAAAATTCGATTTGGAGGACATTATACAAACAATTCAATCCATTCTAAAGCCTTTTGCTTAACTGTAATAAAATATACAGAGCCTTTTGTGACCTATCACATAACCTACACATTTCTATGATGTCATACACCCATACAACAGCTACTAGGGCTTCCCCTATAAATTATTTATAATGCTTCCTCAATTTGACCTTATAATGTTACTACAATAAAAAATTAACAAGATTAATGGGCTTCTGTGTATTAATGTTAAATACTTAATAAAGATCTAATGTACTTGACAACTTAAGTCATTATTAAATAGTAACCTAACCAACATTTTCTTTCATGGCCAAGATCATACATTAAGGTATAAGATATCACAACTTAACCATGTGGTGGCAGTGAAAAAATAATTTGAGGGTTGTTATCAGAATGTCCTACAGACCGAATTTCGGTCACGGTGGCCAATCTGAACGGAGACTAGCCATCTGTGCAGGACAGGATTATAGTGTTTGAGTGTATGCTCAAGCACATGTGCACTCTCTATTCCCTCACATCAAATCAGGCACAGGACTAACAACTTTATGTGCTTTCTGAGGCACGGAGGTAAAATATAGCCAACTTCCTGACTCTGAGTTAAAGATCTAATAACTGATATTGGCCCGACTAGGGAATCAAACTGGAGACCTTGTGATTGATCAACAATTGTGGTAATGACCACTAGACTAATGAGGCATTCAATGTATAGGCTATAATAGATGGATAGATGGATATCACAACTAAGAATGTCCAACACCTCCCAATGTTCCTGTCACATTTTCGAAAGTAACAGTGTCAAATATCTATAATATTTCACTGCCTCTTCAGTCTAGTAATCGTAAATGCGACTGCTGATGATGATGTCCTGGGTTCGAATCTCGGGTCAGGCAAACAAAACAGGTATTGAGTTTCTCCATAAAAATTCGGAGCAATAGCTTGAGGTCAGGATTTCTGAAACAAGCTATTGCTTTCTGAAGCAATAGCTTGCTTCAGAAAGCACGTAAAGCTGTTGTTCCTGTGCCTGATCTCTCTCTGGTCCTGGCGGTTTGCGGTCCACCCATCGGACTATGAGAGTGAAATAATAGAGTGAACCTGTGCTTGCACATACACTCAGGTACTGTAATCCTGTCCTGCACAGATGGCTATACTCCGTTCAGACTGGCCGCCGTGACTGCAATTCGGTCTGAAGGACATCATTATTTGACAACACCTAAACATTTCATTCTCATAGATCACATATTACAACACTAAATGGTAAGATGAGTAAATAATGATGAAAAATGTTTGTATTTAAATAAATATGTGTGCAGTTCAGACGTGGAAGAAGTGAAACTTCAGAAAAGGAGACCAAGATAATGGAAACACTGTAAACTGTATTCTATCTTTTTCTCCCACAGGCTAAATCCTATAGATGTATGTGTCTCTTTTCATTTCATTGCATTTAAAATCACAACTATTCTAATAAAGATATCCAAAAATTGGCTTATTATGCCTTGTGCAAGTCTTTAAAACATATGAAATTGAAGTCTGGGGTAGTATTGCCAAAATGTATCTATTCAATAATTAAAATGTGCACAAGGTCACTTTTAAAATATTTTAAGCCATACCCAATTTGATACATATATAAAATAAATAAAGTTTTTACAGTTCGACAGTTCTTTGTGCTACATAGTTTTAAAATTAGTTTCAAAGTTTAAAGAAAACGCAATTATAAAAAAGGAACATTGTTTTCATCATCTCATAGCTCAACAACCGCCCAACAACACATCTTTTGCTAGGAGATTCTATTATTTTTTTTGAACAGTATTTGTATTATAAATAACATCAAAAATTGTCTATTAACAAAGTCAACAAATGGTCACAGTCAAAATAAACTCATAGAATATCTTTAGACTCTCATACACTGAACAACTTTTTAATTCCATTTATTAGCTATTCCCCGTGACTTCGCCTCCGTGTTATTTATGATTTTTATTTTTTTGCACAGAATCCTAATTCTTTTTCTAAAATAAATAAATATCTGCCAGTGAAGGTCCAGTCAAAATCGGTCCAGCCGTTTCAGAGATTAGCCGGAACAAACAGACAGACAGACAGACAAAATTTTTAACAATTGTACCTTTTTTATAAGTACTGTATATACTTAGTAAAAAGCAGTAATTTTTACATTACAAACAGACACTTCAATTTTATTTATTTGTATAGATTACTTTGTATTCAAATTGTAAATTTGCTCTTTATATTATATTTCTAACCATACCGTGATCGCTGCACATATATGGGATAGAGCCAAGCTGCACCTATATTATGGTTGTAGCATGAATCGATCAACTCAACCAGAGAAGGACCACACTTTCACAGAATACCAGCATAAAATAACAGCCTAATGCTGCTGTGTTTTATACTGCTTGGTTAGTTAAAAGAACAAGAGACACTTTTTATTGGAAATGAGGCATTCCATCTTAGACTTTGGGGGTGACAGCTCATCTGCATTTTGAGTTTCATTATGCACACTACCATTAGGCTACTGTAGTGTGTAGTGTGTGTGTAATATATGTGCACAATAATATGAAACTCACGTTAAATGGGACATCCCTACGTACATCACATCACACCTCCCCACATTCACTCTTGTTAATACAGAGAGTAATGTTCATTTGCCTCATTAGGTTACTTCACAGCATAATTTAAACATTATAAACTATTTTATACTGTATAAGCATGCCATTATAATGATTTCTTATATTTATGCGAAGACTACACATTAAATGAAACTAATTTTTACAGATTCTATCGTGTTTAATTGAACAATTAGGGCAAACATTCTTCCAGTTTTCACTTGAGCCGAGTAAAAATGTTGGTAAGTGCAATTTTAACTCAGTCATGCATTAAATTATTTTGTCAGGTATAAAATTATAAGTTATCTGGCAAAGAATGCTTTAAGCATTAAGTCTGTCTTTTAAACCCATACTCTTTTTCTGAGTTTCAATAAATATTAAATAAAGAAAACTGTAACTAACACAACAAGTAACTAACAAACAAAAGAATTTAACTAAACAGGACATGGGTAGCAGTATCTTCATGTTAACTAGTTAAAATAATAAAACACAGCAATTGCCAAACTGACTGCCAAATGTGGCAAATAAGGCAAAAATCCAGTAAATAATAATAAATAGTTACCATAGTAATAGCAATAAAAAATTATTAAATACATTTACATGTATAGTTCATAACACTAAATAACTATTAAAAATTAAATTTAAGGTACCTCTACTGTAAAATGTACAATTCAAGTATATAATTAAAGTACGCATAACACAAATAAATAGCCACGCCCAATTAAAAAATAGTATGTAAAATATCATTTATAATGAGATAGATCCCACATGAATAACTTCTTTAAAAACATTATTTTTAAAGACAATGGGTTTAATCAAGTCCACAAGTAAAAGAAAGTACACCAATACTTACACCAACTTTCCGGTGTTCTTCCCAAAAAAGCGCCAGTATTTCTATCATAAATGAAATTATGAAATTTTTGCCTTTCAGTGGTTCTTGACGGTTTTGTTTCTATTTCGAATTCTTCTAACTTCGGATTACGGTGCATTTTATTGAATATTAAAATTATAACCACGAAACTAAAAGTTCAAGATTAACGCTTCTTCCTATCCGAAGAAATCTAACTATAAAATACTAACTAGTGCCATTGCCATAGACATTAGACAAATCTGTCAAACTTAGCTTGATAATTTTGACAGCACAGTGGAGGGATGTGGTGGTGTATAATCGTTAATGAATCGATTCGATTATTATTCTCATTGAACTTGCAATCGATAGTTGCATGTTTATGCTGTATGGATTTAGAATTTTGGACAATTTTTCATCTATTGAATTAATTATAAATTATTAATACTTTAATAAAATCCCTACCAAAATAACTATTTTAGATTTTTATTTTTTAATTAACGATTTTATTCGGTCAGTCAGACTATTTTGTGAAATACGTGAGAGTCAAAATAATTTTTGTGAAAGGGCTTAGTGTGAAATAAGACAAGGAATTGTAGCATAAAATTATTTATTACTAAAATAATGGTCCACAAGATAAATAAAGTCCATTATTATCATCATCATCATAATCACTAGGCTCACGACTGGAACTGTCCCTTAGGTTTATTATTAATTCTTGTTCACAAACTCTGTCAAAGTGGACATATTATCCCACTCTTCTAGTATATATATTTCTTGTGTATTCCACGATTTTTCTCCATTCAACCGCAATAACGTTATCACAGGCATTTTGCAATAAAGCCAGCATTTTCTTAGCCGTAAATGATGGAGTTTTTTCGTAAATGGTGAAATTGGCTCAATAACCAAAAGAAAATAAAAAAATTAAGTATCTATATAATAATAATGACCCCCAGACCGAATTTCAGTCACGGCGGCCAGTCTCAAAGGAGTCTAGCCATCGACGCAGAAAATGATTATAGTGCCCAAATGTATGCGCAAGCACATGTGCACTCGCTATACCCCCACCCCCATAATCCGATGGGACGGTAAACCGACACGACCGGAGAAAAATCAGGCGCAGGACCAACGGCTTTACGTGCTTTCCAAGACAGGGGGTGAGACACTGCAACTTCTTGACTCCGGGCAGCTACTGCGAATTTGAAAAGTCAAATAACTGATTTTTGGCCCGACACGGGATTCGATACCGGGACCTCATGATCAGCAGTCGCACTACCACAATCACTAGATCAACGAGGCAGTCAGTATCTATATAATGTAGTAGACGTAGGTTTTCTTTTATAGATAAGGGTGACAAACGAGCACACAGTCCACCTGATGGTAAGTGGTTGCTGTGGCCCATAGACATCTACATCTATCCTCAATTACGAATCAAAATGCAAATGCGTTATCACCCGTGAGAACTAAGATGTAATGCCTCGTTTCCAGTAAAAAGGGTCTCCGGTTCTCTACACTCACCGTACGAAACACAGCAGCGTTAAGTTGCTATTTTACGCGGGTATTCTGTGAGAGTGTGGTCCATCCCCTGTCGAGCTGACCCATTTGAGCTACAACTATACCAGAAATATAGCTGCAGCATGGCTCTACCACGTAAAAAAGGTACTAGGTATAATGACAAAAAAACAAACCATTGACATGATCCCAAATCCGTTCGATGGCATTGTAATGGCAATGATATGGTGGCAGTTTAAGCACTGTATGGTCATGTTGTGCAGCGATTTCATTCAAAATGTAGGTTGGCTTTCTGGGTTTGTTTTCTTTCATTAATCGGACTAATTCGTATTTCAACATATTTTCATTGGCTTCAATGACTTTGCTCTGCAACCAAGATATAAGCTCCAGTTTTCTGCTGCTGGATGTTGGAGCTTTGTTCTTTTGTAAAGAATGGTACGGTGCATTATCCATAATAATCATATGTGGTTAATGAAGATTTCCAGCAATGTTAAAAAGTCACTCTTTGAACTTTTCGAAATTCATCTTCTCATGATATTCTGTTGGTTTTGTTGATTTGAAAGCCACCAAACAATTGGGTACTAAGCCTTTTGTCTCTGCGTGCGCAATTATCAGGCGTTGTCCTTTGCCTTCGGGCACTTTGGCGACTGATTGTGCCGTGCCATCAGTCCACGCTTTCGCTACCGTATGGTCCGCATTAAGCCACGTCTCGTCCAGAAATACGACTTCATCCTAATTTGAAATATGTTTGGCTTTTCTCAAGAAGTCCACCCGTGCTAAGGCAATATCTCTGCATTTTTTATGAGCGAAGCCAATTTTATGTAGGATGGTGGCCAATGACTGCAAACTGCTTTTAAATAAATCAGAGTCTTGAACTACTGTTAATTGTCTTAGTGTTGGATATTCAGCACGTCTATAATACGCGTATACATGGTTGCGTATTGCGGCGGCATCAAAGTCGTCAATCGCAGTAATACTCTAAACTCTCCTTTTTTGCTTATCCGCAACTCTGTAGCCAACTTGGGTTACAGGCAACAACAGCGCTGGTCATGTGACATGGGTGACGTCACATATATGTAAACAAGTCAATAACCGTAATAAAACAGTGCAGCTGAAATAAATTTTATCATTTTTCCTTCAAATTTATTTGATAAAATAGTGTGTAGTGCCACAATGTACTATTACGACAAATGTAGTCCACAAAACTGTTTGTTTCTGTTCCAACGAATCCCAAAAGACGATAAATGTGGTTAGCTTGAAGAGACCTAAAGAGCATTTGGGTCATAGCAATGTTTTTATATGTGAAGATTTCTTTAACACTTTCATTGTCCGGTTTTCAGACACAATTGTAAGACAATAGCAATAACCTATATGTAGTACACGGGACAGCGAAAAGGTAATGTAAGTAATATTTAACTTTATATATACTAGATAGTAGCTAAATATCTGACTAATTTAGATTTGTCATCGTTTGCGTTAGCTAGTGATGCACATTTTACTTACAAGGACTATCGAAAAATGATTGTTAATGAAGCGGTAAAAATATTTAAAAAAAAATAGATTAGTATCTACACAAAATTGAATAATTTCAAAAATTAACAGAATTTTTACCATGATAGTTCTAAAATAATTAAAAAATATTCATATAACATGTTACTGGGAATAAGCCGAACCTACCTGCCTTTTGTTGGATTTTAATTCAAATGTAAAAAATCCCAAGTGACTACCGATAAATTAAAAAAAAAACTCCCCAAGAATCAGATCGGAAAGTTGTATTTTCAAGTAAAGATCTTTGGATAAAAATATTTACTGCCATGGACAGTTTCCCCGGAATTTCTTTTTTTGACATGTTGTTAATATAAATAGGTAGATATTTTTTATAGAAGAGGGGGCAAACGAGCATGCAACTCACCTGATGGTAAGTGACTAACGCCGCCTAAGCACAACCGCAACACCAGGGGAGTTGCAGATGTGTTACTGGCCTTTTAGACCGGTGTAAGCTCTTTTCTTGAAGGTTCCTAAGTCGTATCGGTCCGGAGAAATCGCCGGTGGTAAACAATTCCACAGAGAAGTTGTACGTGGAAAAAAAACACCTAGTAAAACGCACACTCGTGGACGGCCAAGCATTCAGATGGTGAGGATGGTATCGTGAATTTTGACGCGATGTGCATTCGTGAAATTTGGCAGCTGGAATTAATCCGAACAATTCCTTAGAGCACTCCCCGTAGTAAATTCTATAGAAAATGCAAAGGGATGCAACATTCCTACGCAGTCCCAGTTTATCGAGCCGATCAGAAAAAACTCGGTCGTCGATGAATCGAACCGCTCTGCACTGGGTTTTTTTTATAGGAGAGGGGGCAAACGAGCTTGCGGCTCACCTGATGGTAAGTGACTACCGCCGCCCATGAACAACTGCAACACCAGTGAGGGAATTACAGATGCGTTGCCGGCCTTTTAAAAAGGAGTACGCGCTTTTCTTGAAGGACCCCAAGTCGTATCGGTCCGGAAAAATCGCTGATGGTAATCGATTCCACAAGGAAGTCGTGCGAGGAAGAAAACATCTAAATCGCACAGTGGTGGACCGCCAATCATCCAGATGGTGTGGATGGTATCGGGAGTTCTGCCGCGATGTGCGTTCGTGAAATTTGGCGGCTGAGATTAATCCGAACAATTCCTCAGAGCACTCCTCATGGTAGATGCGAAAGAAAATGCAAAGGGATGCAACATCTCTTCGCAGTGCCAATGAATCGAGCCGATCGGAAAGGGCTCGGTCGTCAACGATTCGAGCCGCTCTGCGCTGGATGCGGTCAAGTGGAAGGAGCTGGCACTGGGGAGCCCCTGCCCAGAGATGTGAACAGTATTCCATGTGAGGCCGAACCTGCGCCTTGTAAAGTTGCAGGCGGTGTGCCGGCATGAAATACTGTCCCGCTCTGCTGAGCACGCCAAGCTTTTTAGAGGCCAATTTGGCCTTCTCTTCCAAGTGACCACGAAACTGCACGTCACTCGATATGTCGACTCCGAGGATACCGATAGTGGCTGAGGCAGGAGAAACAGCGTTGGTGATAGCACGCAGCCTTGTGGAACACCAGCTTTGTTTGGCTTGAAATCAGACCATGCACCGTCTACTACGACTTTGATGCTTGGATCAGCAAGGGAACTGGTGATCCTTTTGCACAATTTCTCGCGAAGCCCATAGGAAGAAAGCTTCGAAAAAATTGCTTTGTGCCAGACCCTATTGAAGGCCTTCGCTATGTCCAAACTAACGGCCAATGCCTCCCCCTTGGACTCTACTGCCTCCGCTCATCTATGAGTCAGATAGACCAGAAGATCACCAGCTGATCGACCCCGACGAAAACCGTAGTGGCGGTCACTAAACAGCTGGTGATCCTCAAGGTACCTCATGAGCTGGCAGCTTATAATGGATTCCATTATTTTGGAGAACAAGGAGGTGATGGCGATAGGCCTGTAGTTGGACAGGTCTTAGCGGTTGCCTTTTTTAGGGATCGGGTGGACCAAAGCTGTCTTCCATAAATTCGGGACTGCGCCTTGGGAATAGGAGTACCGGAAAAGACGCGTTAAAACCGGTGCCATCTCCGGAGCACACGTCCTCAGCACAATGAGAAGGACTCC